TGGGATCTCCGTAGCGGTGACGGATACCGTGTAGTGGGGCAAAGACCCATTTGAAAAATTTTGGAAAATGACTATGAGATCACCGAAAATGTCAAATTTCGTTTTCATTTTCACCAGCTTAAACAGTCGGCAATAGACGGTTTCCGTCAGCACTTTTCATGGGCACTTTTTTCGGAGGATCAGCATTTCCATAATATGCTAGATGCTAGATCTAGAAGCTGCTTTCTTATTTCTTATGGACGCCATATTTGATGTAGGTACACTTTACCATACATTTACAAGATAAATTTTAAAATCAAATGATTTACATTCATTTATCAACAAAACATTCACGGGTAACTAGATCTTGCCGAATTAACATGGCGATGCATTCAAATGAATTTCTTTTTTGTTCTCTAATCTCATTCTGGAAAAATCCAATATGGCGCCGTCCATTGCCTATCGCTTAAGCCGCTGAAGGTAGGAAAAATCAAGACAACATTTGACCCTTTCAGTTTTTTGTTATATCTAAGTTACTTTTAAAGATTTTTTAAAAACTTCAAATGCGTTTTTTTAGTCACAAAAAAAGGGTAACTTTGCCCTCATTTAATCTACACTGTCTCTTGCCGTTAAGGAGATCCGAATGGTGAGCCACCGAATTTGAACCACCTTGTACATCATATTTAGGAACACCTTCTTTACAGAGAGATTCTTTTAATATAATTCATACTCGTACATGTAATTCCCCTAATGGACAACATCAAAGCATTAGAGCATTTAAACAACTTAAATGGCGTCTATTAACTTAAATGAGGGCCAACATTTTGGTTATAGTTTTTAGCGCATTTTTGCAAATTTATTTGTAAAAAGTAGCTTTTAATCTCACTTTGGCTGGCTGGCTGGTCGGCTGGCTGCCAGCAAATGTGAGCGCGTAGAAGAACTCTTGTAGAAAGGCAACGGGTGTACGTGTATCTACAAGGCCGTGTAATTTGTAAACCTTGGGGCAGGGCTACATGATGTGGGGTTGGCGACATCTGGGCGTCATCCTCGAGCGTAGTATACTAACGTGAAGGTTTTTCAATTTTTTCCTATCTTCTACTACAGTTTTGGTCCGATTCTTTTCAAATTGGTGTCGTCGGAAAGATGTTGTAAACGCGCACAACTCCTGCGTGGCGGAATTTTGTTTTTTGCCCTAGGGGCGAAATTAACGACCTTTTGCAAGGCGCGCGCGCGCCTCTTCGAGAGGTACTCAACTTCGGGCACCTTTTACCTTCCGTTGCGAATTCTGTCACGCGTTTTAACGTTTCGCAAATCTCGAATGGCTGTCTCTCTTTCTCGTGTCGCCAATAGAAGCTCGAGCAATGAGAAGTGCCCCTCAAAAATTAAGTACTATCTTGTGGAAGGTTTTTAGCGAGATCCACCAAAATGTGGGTGTAATATAAGTATGCAAAGGAAATGTGGTAGCCTCCGACAAGATCTAACTGATGGTGGAGAAAAATCTTCAAACGCGAATTGCGGGTGAACGGGACGTCGGAAGTGGGTACCGTCAAAGGGAATGTGGTAGCCCCCAACACGATCTTAGGGTCGTTCGAGGACAACTTTGACAAAAATTCGAGCAAATTCGATTTGATTTTAAACGGAACACACTTTTCTATGGTCGCAGTCAGAAATAGGGGCTGTTTTCTGTTCATAATCTTATTAAATTCGATCTCTAGCGCATGTGATCCCTACGAAATTCCAAATTATTGCTTTTCTGAAAACTTTGCTGAAAACTACCTCTAAATATTTTTAAAATTATTTCAGATTTATCTGACGCGACTAAACAATTGTAATTTTTGAATGGGTCAACGAAATATATTACCTACTACTATTACTAAAGGTAAAGGTAGAGCGTTTCAAAGACAATTTTGACAAAAATTCGAGCAAATTAAAAGTCGATTTTCAACGGAATACACTTTTCTCTATACTGGCAATGACAAATAGTGGTTGCTTTCTGTTCAAAATGTTATTAAATTCGATCTCTAGCACGTGATCCCTACGAAATTCCAAATTATTGCATTTTAAAACTGAAAACTAACTCTAAAGGTAAAGGTAGGGCCTTTCGAGGGCAATTTTGACAAAAATTCGAGAAAATTAAAGTCCGATTTTAAACGGAATGCACTTTTCTCTGCTCGCAGTCAGCAATAGGGGTGGTTTTCTGTTCAAAATCTTCTTAAATTCTATACCTGCCATGTGATCCCTACGAAATTCGAAATTATTACATTTTAAAACTGAAAACTAACTCTAGAGACCTTTTGATGGCAATTTCGGAATAATTCAAGCAAATTAGAGTTGGTTTTAAACGGAATACACTGTTCTCTGCTCGCAGTCAAAAATAGGGGTTGTTTCTGTTAAAAATCTTCTTAAATTCTATATCTGACACGTAAGTGCTCCCTACAAACTTCGAAATTATTGCATTTTAAAACTGAACGCGAATTGCGGGTGAACGGGACGTCGGAAGTGGGTACCGTTAAAGGGAATGTGGTATCCCCCCCAACAGGATTTTACTGATGGAGTTATATCTTCAAACGCGTCGAATTGCGGGTGAACGGGACATCGGAAGTGAGTACCGTCAAAGGGAATGTGGTATCCTTCGACAAGATCTTTTATTCATGGTTGAGTAAACAGTGGCTAATAGAATACTGATCTGCCACACAAAAATGCGCTGAAGTCCCTTCGATCTCACACGAGGACTTTGATAATTTTTTACATTTGAGTGCATAGTAAGCCATCATTTGAGTACCAGTTCACCACCATCTGCCAAAATGACAGTTTACAATCACAGTGTATTTAATTTTTCGTTTTTGGGTGGAATAAAGTTTCATTTACTATACCTACCTAGTATGTGTACTCTTGTTTAATTCGGAGATTACGATAGAGTATATATCAAATTTTGAGTCGCATTGGTGAATAGATGTTGTTGCTAATTCAATAAAACGCTTTGATGTCGTGTATCTAAAAGTGTACGGTTTTGGTCAGAAGTAATGTTCCTCGATTATTTCATGTGTAGCACATAAGTAATATACGAGTATATACCAGATCTGTAAGTGTAGGCTTCTTTTCAAAATTCGGAAAGTCTCTAAGGTTGAAATGAAATTGAACTAAATCACGGAGGAACTGTCATATTAATACTTTTTCTGCAGGGAGAACATTACTTCTGACTACGATTGTACATGGAAATTGTACGAAAAAACTATTAAAAAGATTTAATAGCGAGAACCTTTTGTTAAAAAGATTTAATAGCGAGAACCTTTTGTGAAACCTAATTTCGGCAAGTGTCACGTTGTCCCGAAAGGAGCGGATATCGCCCATTCGAATGCAGGAAGAAATCCCGCACAGCGTCGGGATTATACTCTTTGGTTCTATAATCCCTCGCTTCGTTTCAGCTTATTGCGGTGTCTTTTACTTCAACCGTACATCTCGTAAAAGCGCATTCTTCAAGCCGCTGAAAACAGTAGCTGCAGAGAAAATATGTTCGCAACTACCGAAGTGTATTTCACAGGTAGCAGAGGTGCGCACCCCGGAGGTCTTTTTCCCGGGGGATTTAATGTATAAAACATGATATCGTTTAAGAGGCATTTTCGCTTCCATTTCGGGACATCTTTAAGTAATGGGTTCATCGATCTTCTCTCAGGGAAAAAATCTGAAACCTTCGTCCCCGATAAATTTTGGTTAATTATACGGGTCAACCACTTCACTTTGTAGTTTTTATCCCGGATTACCCCACATATCGGGCGTGAATTCGAACCCGTTTTTTTTCCTTACACAACACGGATACTATCCTCGCACGCAAAAGGGCATGTAAAGGATGTACGCCCCTCTTGCTCGCGATATCGATCCCTTTGTTTACCACATTAGTAAATGATGTTTTGGCCCACCGCGATGGTGTGCATCCCGAATCGATATTTGGCTTTTCCCAAATTAGAACTATTTGATGTATGTACTTTTTATGCGGTAAATTTTGATATTGTTGCTATTGATTAAGGTGCCCAAGCGCGTAGTACGTGGGAGGTAGACACGCAACCCCCTTTCCCATTTCCAGACACCTTAACGCAGTTTTGTTAGTTCTCTTGGTTATATTGTTGTGAATTGCTGGAAGATTTAGGAACTAATGTAAAAATATGCCTCTTTGCGCACAGACTCTGGTCGCGTAGCAACCGTCTGTGAAAGCTCAAAGCTGACCCGGGCGCCGCCACCGGTAGTCATCACGATGCCGTTGTAGTGCCTGGAGTAGCTTAGTGTCTATCCTGTCATTCTTTTCTTTTCGTGCTCTCCTCAAACTGCTCTCAACCGCCAATGAAACCTATGCAAACGCGAGATGCGTTAACGTATACGAAACGACAATAACAAATACAGGGATAATCACCGAATTTAGCCAAACTTTTTTACATTTGCGTAATTTATGTCAATAATTCTTTTCGATAGCCAATTTTTTCGAATGCGTCACGTTCACGCACGTCTATGATTTTAGCACACATGCAAAAGATCGCCGCTTTCTTTTCAAATTTTAAAAAATGAGTGAGCTCGTCAGGTAGTTGCGATGAGTGTACGATGGAGTTACAATGCGTCGTTGTGTATACAATCATTCACATTCCCGAACCGAAGCCACCACCGGACGCCGGACCTGAACAGAACCCCGATGGATGTCTTTCGTGGATCAAATGCCAGATTAAAAGGTTCTTTGTGTTTAAATGTTTGCACCTGTTGCGCTTGTTTTTTATCCCATCCATCCTCTTTCCATTCTGACACTGACACTAATTCCCATTTTTGTGCAGTTCGCTTCTTAAATGTAACCAACCGGCCTTGTTTTGTTCAGAAGGTGATACCTACATTAAAACCTTCTAGTCCAATATTCTGAATATGAGTAACGTTGTTTTTAGCCTTTTTCAAACACAAAACCCGCTAAAGAGCGTTAAAAGTTTTCTTATTTGTACAACTGCGAGTAACTCGTGGTATGGACGTGATTCTTTATCCAATATAAAAATACGTGACTTGTACGAAAATTATAACAGTAAGAATAAACTTGATTGGGAAGCCAAAGATCTTGCGATTGGTCACATATCGTCCCGTATTTTGTAATTTACTTTCGTTGTGCATTAATCACAAGGTGAAGATTGAAATATGCACGTTGCAAAAAGAGATTTGGAAAAACGGGGAAAAATACCAGAAAAATTGTCAATTTTAAAAATGCCGTTTGACCTCTCATATTAAATCAAAGAGACAGTGCTTAATATTGATTGACGTGGGAAAGACGTCATATGATATAAATCCCTTCTGTCCCAATTTTTCCTCGGCGATTTAAAAATATCGAGAAATGTTCTTCGATGATCATTTTGACTATATGTCCTTCAGCGATGATCAAAATACTAACAATATTGTTGTTCAACGGACGTTTCAATGAGTAAATGAAAATAGGGAAGTTTATTACGAACATTACGCACATTATACAGAGTGGCCCAACGAGAAGTATACAGAGGGCTTTTAGGGTATTAAATTTAGAAATTTCGAAAAATCCTCGAACACGTCAATTTTGTATTCGAGGGGCACAACTTTTGGAATACAAATCACGAACCCAAGTCTTCACCCCTCTACGTAGGGAGCTTAACTCCTAAAATTTTAAATGGAATCCTATTTTCATTGGTACGTTTTGAATGGTACGTTATTTGAAAGCCAATTTAATCGTGATTACTAATCTGCTTTGCTTTTTAAATTCTATTGATTCGTTTTGGAGATATTTGCATTTGAAATGGTTTTTTCTTAAAAAACCAAAACAAATGCGATCTAAGTCACCTTATATTAAAAAAGGTTTAAATTGTGCAAAAAATAACAAATAACTTTAAACACACAACATTTATTTCAATAAATGCTCGAATTGCCTTCCGCCTGCTTCCATGCAATAATAAAGATTTGCTTCAAAACGCTGCCGTACATGCTGGAAGATTTCAGGGGTAATCGCTCGAAATTGTTGAGTTATACCATAGTGTATTTATTCTATTCTTACACTATGGTTATACGTGCTCGCAACCTTTGTAATGTTGCGGGCGGAGTAGCATAAACTTTATTCTTTAAATATTCCCACAAGAAGTAATCTAAAGGACTTAACTCAGGGGAAAAAACCATTTCAAACGCGAATATCTCCGAAAAGAATCAATAGAATTTAAAAAGCAAAGCAGATTAGTAATCACGATTAAATTGGCTTTCAAATAATGTGCCATTTGCCATAGGATTCCATTTAAAATTTTAGGGATTAAGCTCCCTACGTAGAGGGGTGAAGACTTGGGTTCGTGATTTGTATTCCAAAAGTTGTCCCCCTCGAATACAAAATTGACGTGTTCGAGGATTTTTCGAAATTTCTAAATTTAATACCCTAAAAGCCCTCTGTATACTTCTCGTTGGGCCACCCTGTAGAAATCTTGAAAGGGTTTTGTGTTTATCGTAAATACGTCCCTGCCGTGTTTTAGCTTTTAGAAATCACCAGGTTTATCGTTGTCCAAGATACACTTTAATTTAGGCAACTTTCTTGTTTTTGCTTAATTATTTTTTATTTTTCTACCTGCTCTGGACCTTCTTCTTTTTACTCACTTTTTATACTTCTTTTAATTTTTTACCTGGAAAAGAGAACCAACCAACCAACTTCCAAAGGCTTCCGAATGCTCTCGAATATTCTAGAACAAAACACGCCATATTTCCCGATATAAATGCGTCACATATCTGCATTCGTTTCTTATCGCGGAGGACTAATCTTGAATGATTCCTCGATGTCTATCGGGAATTTCGGAATATTCGCTACAATAATCTTACTTTTAAGAACGAAGTGACGTTTTGTGCAGTAATTTACCCTAATACTATAAAATTTATTAGGTTATTCTTCCTATTTTTCGTGAATTCAGCGATGAGATGATTATTTTACTCCCGTCCAAAACATATCTGCATACTGAGCGTCACTAAAAAAATGTTTTTTAAAGATATATTTAGTGTTCCAGACAAAATTTCCACCCTGTATAAATAATAAATAATAAAGCTTATTTAATGTTTTGTAGAACAGCCTACATATACATAAGTCAATACAAAAGCAAAATAAAAATATTACAAATGTAAGAACAAACAAAATTATAACAACATTACTTAATTGTCACGAAAAGAACTCTGTACTGAAAAATTCCTCATACGAGTAAAACGGTTTATCAATAAGAAATGCTTTAGTTCTTGATTTGAATAAATTAAAAGGTAAAGCCTTAATATTGGGAGGAATATAATTATACATTTTTATATTGATATAATCAAAACTGTTTTGTGTCTTACTTAAACGGCAAAAAGGGACAAATGCATTTAATTTGTTGCGGGTGTCATAATTATGAACATCGCAATTTTTAACAAAATAATGTTCATTGCGCTTAAGAAAACAAAGACAAGTAAAAATAAAAATAGATGGAAGCGTTAATATTTGGTGATCAATGAAAGCTTGCCGACAATCATCTCTAAATGAAATGTTAGCAATAATTCTAACGGCTTTTCTTTGTAATTTAAATAATTCCCTCCAACAAGCAAAGTGGCCCCAAACATTAATAGCATAAGACAAGTGGCTATGTATGAGTGCAAAATAGGCAGTTTTAAGAATATTCATAGTTACATTACTCGCTAATCTACGCAAAACATATATATTTCTGCTTAACTTCGTAGCAACAAAATTACCGTGAACATCAAATTTTAATTTCCGATCAATACAAATTCCTAAAAATTTCACATATTCAGATGTTGATAAATCATGTGATCGCAGTGATAATATCATGGATGCCGTTTTCATTGTATTTATATGTAATAAGTTTATAGTGCACCAAGTATTAGCTCGTTGAAGTAATTCATTGGAGTTATTTAGTGCCCCGTTAATGTGTTCGGCCCCAACAAGTAAGGTAGCATCATCTGCATAAAGAAGGCAGTTTTCATTTCCAGAAATAAAGCTTGGCATATCATTAATATAAATTAAAAAGAGAAGAGGCCCCAGAATACTACCTTGGGGTATTCCTTTCGTTATACAGAGTTTTCCTGATAGGTTATTATTTATCTTTACACATTGAAACCTATTTGTAAGGTATGATTCAATGAGGAGTTTGCTAGTAACATCAAATCCATAGATTCTAAAACAGGGGATATCTCGAAACGGTTTAAATATTTGTATGAAATTTTCATGACTTAATAAGGACGTGAGGTGGGGACAAATCTTAACATGCTTTTTTAATTCTCTTTTTCCCCGCTCTAACATTTTAGGTGTAGCTAAAGAATAAAACCTACTCGACCAATCTGCCTGAGGGAAATAATTACGGGCTTGTATTACAGGATGGAGTGGAGCCCCATCCTGCAAAAACCACATGTCAAGATTTATGTTTTTGCCTAATCATTGGTCTAATTGATCCCTTAAAAAATCTGTGTACATTTTCTATTTAGGTGTACTTTTCTTTAGAAAATGCGGTTCAATATCTTTATCCCCAATAGTCCCACCCCACATCACACGTTACTTGACCAGGGATGTGGATCCTTCCTGCGCCTAGTAGTGCATAGAGTGCCTGATTAATCTTGGGTAATAAGAAATAACATAAAATCCTACCTGCCCACAATAATGGGAATGTGGTTTCGCCAGAAACAATATCTTTTTCCAAGCACCTTGTGTTTCCTTGCATTTGTATTGCTACTCAGTTACAAAAGTAGTTTTTTATACACAAGAGCACCATCTCATTTAAAATGTCAGTCACCCCTAAAATTTGAGAGAAGAAAAAACAAGTTAAAAAAAAACGATTTACATAAAGCGCATTTCCACATCCGGCCACAAATATAAAAGATAGCGTTGCACATGGGCAATCCATTTTTGACGTGCTATTTCAATTTCAGTTTATAAGAAGAATTTCATTTGAATGCTTTTCTAAATAAGAAAGTTGGAACTGCGCATGCGCAAACCTAAACTGAAACTGGCGCTAGATTTTCCTTTATTCCAAGCACCTATATATCAAATTTCATTTACATGCTTCCATAAATAAAAAAGTTGGCACTGCGCATGCGCAAAGCCAAATTTTGAAATTGGCGTTAGATTTTCATTTAATCCAAGTGCCTATGTATCAAATTTCATTCAAATACTTTTATAAGAAAAAAAGTTTGCAATTCGGTTTATAAATGGTCGAGATGCGAAAAGGGCACTGTGAATTTTGAATCGATTCGACTCAACTTTTGGCATTGCGTATTATATGGCTAAGGCTATGCCCATATTGAATTTCATACAATTCAGTTCATAACTAACGGAGATGTAAAAGCGATCGGACATTTCTAAACAAAGTTATCGTTCACACGGACAGATAGAGGGACAGACCAACAGACAGACGACAGACAACAATACAAAATTATAAATGATCTCTAGGATCGTTAATAAACGGCCAAAGTGTAAAATTATAGAACATGTAAAAAACGGTTTGTTGTTTTTTTTACAATAACTTTTTTAGCAATAAACGCAGAAAAAATTCCTTCCTTGGCGCAAGCCTCGACACCATAACGAACCAAATAGCGAAAAAAGTAGAACAATAGCTCTTAAGATAAAGAACTAGTAGCGTCGCAAAACAAGCGGACGGACGGACAGACGGGCAAAGTGGCCACAATAGCGCGTTTTTTTTTATTTTTGTGGAAATGCGCTAAA